AACTCTTTTGTATTTGGATTAATTACTCTAAATGTATCACTAAACTCTTGCCTTTCTAGCTAGCTAAGTAGTGAATTTAGCTTTGCTTGTTTTTTCTTTTGGTTTATTGGTCTGTCTAAGTTCAAATTTACTATTGCATTAAAGGCTCTTATAACTACTATTTGTGTTTTTGGTAATCTTTTGACATATTTGTTAATTATCAACTTCTAAATTATTTTTCTTTTTTCTTTATCATTTGAAGGTAAGTAGGCCAATATAATTATAATTTCAATCTGCTTAAAGAAAAAGCTAGCAGAAATCATATATTCATTTGTTCTTTTTATGTGGTCTAAGTGTTTTTTCTATTTTTGGTTAATTAATAATTCTACTTCTGAACCTTTTCTCTTATCAGGATTTGCACTTGACCAGATGCTTTAGTAGCCTTCTAAATTCTTTTCTAAAAAGAAGCCTTCTTTAACTAAAATGTTTGTTTTTACTAGACCTACTATGTCTAGTTCATTGTCAATTAACTAATCGCACAGTAATTCTAACTTTTGGCTATTTGATTTAAGCCTATTAATATTGTATATTGCCAAATTTAATTTAATTCTTTCATTTGTATATATTCTTCCTATTTCTATTGACTTCTTTTCATCATCTTTTGTTTCTTTGTTCAAATATAAAACATTTTTTTGTATTAAGTTAGTTCTTTTTCTTCTATTTTGCAATAAAGAGCTAGGCTTTATATTTGAGATTGTTGATTTAAACTTGGTAATTTCTAAAAGCAATTGGCAAGACTAAAGCTTGCTAACTCGAGTTTTGCTTTATGCTATACTTCAAGTTTGTCTAGTCTACTAATAATTCCTAATAGTAAGTCTTTAGTTAATAGTTTTTTTTCTTTTCTTGATAATTTTTTGTTTTCTTTTTCTTGATTGATTTTTAAATTCTTGTTTATATTTTTTGTGTTATATTTATATTTTATTTCTTGGTTATTCTTTTTTTTTATTGATTCAACTTTTCTTTTTTAATAATTTACTTTTTTTCTTAATACTTTTCTTGTTTGTAAACTTTCCAAAAGATTGAGTAATTGTAGTATCGAAATAGTTTTGATTTGGCTGATTCTAAATCTTCTTGGTTTGTGAAGATTATAATTGCAAACTCTTTGAAGTTACCATTGCTATTAATTGGCATAAACACTGATTTTGCTCTTTTATTTTTAAGGCTTCTTAGCAAGAGAACTTCAAAAGCTCTTTTGAGTACTTCTAATAGTTTTGCTATAAAACGATTATGTTTATTTTTTTACTCATAATTTTCTTTATCTTGTGTTATTCATACTAATTGTTCAATGAGAATAACCAAAGTATTTTTATATAGTTTCTGATCATTATTTCAATTATTGCTAGTGATTTAAACTGAGATCTTTAATTCTTACAACTTTTGCATTTCTAATACTTCTACATATAAATTCAATTTCTTCATAACTGATGTTTGCTAGTAAATCCTATATAGTCAAATAATTTTGATTTTTCATCTTTTCTTTTCTTTTTTGATACAAATTAGTATGGTTTGCTTGCTTTGTAAGGTGCATTCTGTATTCAGTGTTTTGTAAATTTAGCACTGTTCATTTAGCTGTGCTGTTTTTAAAATTTTGAGTTTGTCTTTCTTTATTTGTATTATAGCTAAAATTACTTCTTTGTTTTTCTGCCTTTATAAGAATGAGTTTATACCAATCACCTTCTTTTTTTAACATTTTCTCACTTGTTGTTCTTCTGCTATATTTGTAATCAAAATTTACTATAATCTAATTATTTATATTCTGAAAACTTTCTTCTATCTCTTTGATATATTTGTTATTTCTAAGTACCTATTTCATAAAATTAATTTTGTACTTTTTTGTTTTATCTGAAATCTTGTATATTGAAATTTTTGCTTTAAATGAGTTTTCTTTGTTATATAATTTATTTTGTGATGACCAAAGACTATCTTCTAGCAGTGCTAAGTTGATTAGTTTTTTTGAATTTGTTTTTTAGTCTTTAGTATTTTTTTTTTTATAAGCAAGCAGAATTATCTTGGTTTGGCTCTATGCATTCTGCCTTTGAAAACATTTTATTATTTTTACCTTTGTTTTCATCTTCACTAATTGTAACTGCTAACTTTTTTAGATTTGTTGATTAGTGATTTTGATTTGATGTATTAGCTTTTATAGCAATAGTAAAATCTTCTATATTGCCTAATAATATTTTGACTGTTTTTTTCTGTTATTTCAACTGTTAGTTCTTTTTATTTTCACTTTTTTGGACCAGTTGGTTGAAAGCCAATGTTTACATCTTCTTTTTCTACTTCTATTTTATTTTTTTCTTTAATATTGTTGAACTACTTATATTAGCTATATAGTTAATTGCTCCTAAATTGCATTGTATTATTTTTGCTTTTATTGCCATTTTTCAATTAATGTTTTTTCAAGGCTTCTAGTTTCAATTTGTCTTAATACTTCAAGAACTTGGCTGTAAATTAACAGATCCTGTTTTGTAATTTTATTTGGATTACTAATTGCTATACTGTATACTATTTATTTTATATTGTTTGAACTATATAGTGTTGTATCTTTCAGTGCTTTAGTTAACATATTGCTATTTAAGTAACTAAGATTTTTTTTACCTGCTCTTCAAATAAGCTTAAGTAGCCTCTGTTTGTGTAACTCACTCATCTTCTAATCTGCACTTAAATGGTAATCAACTAATATTTACTAGTAGTATTGTTCTAGATTTTTTTAAAAAAGGCTATGTGCTTTTTAGTTATTGTTTAATTTTGTGATTATTGTTTTCTTGTAATCTATTTACCTAACCAAAAAAAGAACATGATCTATTGTTTGTTTATTTTGTTATTTACATATTTTTGTACAAACTAATTTGATTTGCTATACTGGAACTCTACTAATTCCTCAAACTTTTAAAAAAAAATTTCAAAGAAAAAACTAAATTGTTCTCTTGTGCTTTGTACTTGACCCAAAGAAGAAAGAGCTTTTAGCAAACTTAATGTTATTTTTTGTCTATTTTTTTCCTTTAAGTTGTCAAGACAGGTTCTTTAAGTTAGTTCTTGCTCGCTGCTACTATTTTTGTCTTATCTGTTTTTGAAATAAAAATAAAAATCTCTTAATAATTATTAATAATTTTTTTTTATTAGAATTTTATAAAAATTATTTATTTAACTGCATACATATTTTAATTTAAATAATATAATATAAAAATATATAAAAAATATATATATATAAATAAAATTAGCACTTGCCAACTGTTTAAAATGGGTCTAGTACAAAATCCTAACATCTAAAATCTTGTTAGGCTATAATACTAATATCATACAATGTAACAACTAATATTTAAAGATTAGTAATTATATTAACAATTATTGTCAGACTTTAAATTTTTAATTGTCATATTATGTAATGTTCTGTCAAGATTTTAAATGTTAAGATTTCATATTAGACCTATTTAAACTGATTTGAATCAAGTTAAATATTAGCTTTAAGTCTCAAAGTTATATCTGACTTGAGCTTGATTAATTTCAAGTTGTAGCAGATAGAGTTATAAATTACAGTAGTTTATAATAACAAATTTTGGTAGTAAACTACCAATAGTAACTTACTATAATAGATTGTTATAGTAACTACCAAAATAGAAACTTATCATAATAAATTATTATAATAAGCTACCAAAATAATAATTTGTTGTGATAGATAACTATGATAAGCTATTACTAGCAATCCTGATAGTTGGAGTCAGCTCAAGGTCAAACTATTAATTTTTAACAAAACCAAAAATAAAAGTGAAAAAGCTAATTAAAGCTGTGCTATTTATTAATATATTTGATAAATAAAAAATTAAACAATTAGAAAGAAAAAAATGAAAAAAATACTTCTTATTATATAATCACAATAAATTAGTTATTACTTCAAAAAAAAATAATAAATAATACTAATTATATAAAAAGAATAAATAAAAGATAAATTATATTAGAATTAATATAAAATTTTTTTCTGCAATCAATATAAAAATTTTTTTCTACAAGCTCAAGTATTATTATAAAAAAAAATAATAATAATAATAAATAATAAAAGAAGGCAATTTATACAATAAACAAAAAAAGACAATATATAAATATCATGAACTAAACCTATTAATTACTTAAAAAGAATTTGCTAAATAAGCAAAAAAAAAATCTAATCTTACAAAGATTTTAGCTCAGAATACAATTTTAAATATCCTAAAAAAAACAGAAAAGTTTAAAAAAATGTTTTCTAATGACCTTGGAATTAAAAAATGTCATGTTATTATATTTTTTAAACTAGATAATTCTTTGGCAAATTGGGTATTACAATGTGAATATTAGAGAATATATTTAAGTAAAGACATAATTAAAGCTAAAATATAAAATTTGTAGAGATGTTACATATCTCTAAAAATGACTAACCTGAATTTTCAAATAGTTGGCTGCATTTTTTTTAGATAATGTTCAAATTAAAAATTGATTAATTCATTAGTTAGTCAAATTGGTAACTAATTAATTAATTGATTATTATAGTTTGCAAAATTTTATAAATTTGTAAATTATTAAAAAAATAAATAAATTGCTTAATTGTTAACAATTAAGTAATTTCTTTTTTTTAATGATTTGCAAATAGGATTAGTGATGCAGTTATAATTTTAGTGATGCATCAATAGTGCACTAACAAAACTCTCTGGTATATAATGCATTATTAGATATATTACAATATTATATTGCTAGCTAGCAGCTTCATTTTATTTTCAAAGATGCAAAAATACATTTACTATAACTTGTTAAGTTGCTCTATACTTTTGTTTATACAATTTCTTTACTTTTTAACTTAATTATATATTTAATTAACTAATATAACTTATTGTCACAGTTAACTTAATATAATAAGTTATTATTAAATCATTAAACAAACTGATTCTATTTTTTAGTTATCTTTGAGAAATTCTGTTTGTTGTAATTTTTAGAATTAATTATGATTGCTTGTCATCTTTGCATTATATCTATGTTAGCATGCCAGCTAGTATATCATATTGGTGTACCATTGGCATTGCCAAGTTAGAAACTAAACTTAAGTTAATTTATAGCTTAAAAAACATAGCTTTAATTCAAGTTAATTCAAATTAAGACTATGTTTTTTAAGCTAAAGTTAACTTAAGTTTAGTTTTTATACCAAGTACTCTGTCTGTATTACTAAACATATCTACAAATTTATGAAATTTTGCAAAATGCAATAATTTACTAACTAACTAATTAGTTAATCAATTGTAATTAATTATTTAAAAAATAATTAACCTACTAATTTTTTTTATTTGCTTTGATTTTAATACTATTTTTAAGAAAAACATAATTTTTATAAATATAGACTACATGATAAAAGTAGTTCTGCAAATGTTAAAGCAATTAACTTAAATCTTCCAACTATTATTTGTACCATTGATCAATACTTCTTATATGATATTTACAATATGAATAAAACAAACTTGTTTTACTTTATGACACCTAATTGTATAATCATATTCTGTCAAATTGAAGGATCAAACAAAAACAAAATAAGAATCACAATTGCACTTACAGCTAATGCTAATAGTACTCATAAGCTTTAACCTTTTTTGATTGGATATGCAACAAAACCAAAATGTTTTAAAAAGAAGACTGAAAAACAACTTGGATTCTATTATTGCAATAATAGCAAAGCATAGATGACTGCTATATGTTTCTAGGAATAGATAAAAAAATTAGATAATAAAATGAGAGAATCTAACTATTATATTCTTCTTATTCTTGACCAGGCTTCTACATATGTTGTTTTTATTCTTTCCTTTACTAATATGAAAGTTCTTTTCCTATTATCTAAAACAACATCTAAATTACAACCTATGGACATTGACATTATCACATCCTTCAAGCTCTATTATAGTTATTTACAACTTTAGCATGCAATTGATTTAGATAAACTAATAAAGCAGATGTCTATAAAGTTAATCAGTTGCAAGATATGAATTGATTGATTAACTAATCCATTAAATTTAATAATTAGAATTGTTAACTAATTATTGAAGTTTGCAAAATTTGCAGATTATTTAAAAAAAAAACTAAGAAATTATATAATTATTAATAAAAGAAACTGTTAATGTTAAATGATTGATCTTTTATCTAGTATGCAATATATAAAAAAAATATTTTACAATACCAAATTATTCCATTAGTATATCTTATAATTATAATCTCACTTTATTTTTATTATAATAAAATAGTGTAAGAATATAATTATAATATGTATTAGCAGAATAATTTAGTATTGTAAAATAATTTTTTTATATATTGCACACTGGGTAAAAAATCAGTTGTATAATATTAATAGTTACTTCTGTTATAATTGTTAGATGATTTTTTAAAAATTGAAATTTTTTATTTAAATATTGAGTAGTTTTAAAAAATTAGAAATCATCTAACAATTAAATAATTTTTAGTAATTTTTTTTTTGATTTTACAAATTTTGCAACTAATCAATTAATCAATTATTATTAACTAATTGATTAATCAATTTTTAAAAAAACTAAACTAATCTATTATATTTTTTTTCCAATTTTTAATACTAGGTATAAGATAGGCAAAAATTGCTTGAAATAAGGTGTTAGTCAAAACTATTAAAAATTATTAGTTTTATATAAAAATTGTATTATTGCATAATGAAACTGGAAAGCCTACTTTTATTTCTATTACTAACAATCTTGAAAGTATAGAAAATGACTCAACTGAAGAATTAATTGTTGAAGAGCTCTAATAGTAAATAGATACTCTACATATTCATATTCTAATATTAGTCAATAATTGATTGAATTATAAAGGTGAACAAGAAGTATACTAACAATTTGCTAATGAAGACTTTGTTCAAGATGTTATAGAAATAGAGCAAGAAGAAGAAGAAAAAGAGATCTTAGAACTAACCCTAACTGCAAAAGAAAAGTTAACTGTTTTATATAATGCTTTGAAAATTGTTACTGAGTTAGTTGATGATGAAAAAGTAACATTAAGATCTCTTTATAAAATCTAATGCAAATCTGTAATGAGGTTTGAATAAAAAAAAATAAAAAACAGGTTCAATATATACTAGATTAATTTTTTTTAAGGCTTGCTTTTATAATATTACTCATATAAGAATGGCTAATTCATAAAACAATTGAAACATTAACAAAAAAAAAAACTTTTCTTAAATTCTACTAATAAACACTTAAGTCATCTTTATGAATAAGTAAATAATCTAAATAAATAAATATTTAAATGTTCTTTAGACTACTTTAAATTGATTTTCTGTTTTATATAATATAAAATAGTTTGTAAAAGTGAAAAGAATTATGTTAAACAGAGAATTAAATTGATCTAATCTTATAAAGTAAAACACTATGTTTCTATACTGAACTCTAATAAATTTTTTTTAAAAAAGTTTGTTATAGAGTAAGTTCTTTAAAAAAGGGTTGTTAAATTAAAAGTTAGTTAAATGTATATTAAAAAAAAGTCAAGTGCATTTATATTAATGATCACAAATAGCTGGTTTAGTAATAGTCTTATATATTTAAGATTTTTCTGTTTTTAATATAAAATACATTTTTTTGAAATAAAACAAAGCAGTATAGGCTCAAATTGAAAGAACATAGCATAAAAATAATAAAATTTAGATTTAAATTATATAAGTGCTTTCACACTTTTTTGCATATATTATAATTTTAAAAATAGTATAGAGGTAAAAAAATTAATAATTAGCAAAGATATAACTTACAGCCTGATAGTATTGTTTTTTGATGCACTAATATCTTATATTTATATATTGCATTAAAAATAATATTTTTATATATAACTCTCTAACCTAATATCTCATTTTTTAAGTATTAATTATCAAACTTAACAAGTTATTAGATTTGAATTATAGAACAGCTATGGAAGATCAATTTTATATCAGTTATAGAAGGTTATCAAATTTGAAAGGTCTGATTTTAACAGAAATAACTGTATAATTATTTTAAATTACTAATAAAAATATAATCAAAACCTTATTAAACAACTCATTCTAATAATTACTTAGATACAAAAACAGCTAAAAGAAAAAAAAAGATTTTTGCAAAATTTCTAATAAAAAATACTTTAAGTAATATTAAACAAAATAAGCAGCAATATAAAAAGCAATAAAAATTATAAAAGAAAAGTGTATTGCAAAACTAATAGTATTGCTATAAAAAAAAAAAGAAAAACTTAAAAAATTTTTTTTTAAAAATAGCAACAATAAGAAATTGTTATTAGATCCTGTATATAGATATGTTTACATTATATTGAAACATATAATAGCAAAACAACAACAGACATATGCAGACTACCAAATTAAAATCAATAAATGGAGTATGCAACAAATAAACAAATCTTATATATAGATAAACAAAATAAATAAAAAACTTGAGAAACCAATTAGAGACAAATAAATATAAGTACAATATAAAATTAGAAGAATATAAAGAAAGTTTATTAACAATTTTTATAAAAAGAGCATACTATTGTTATAGAGTGGAAGCCTTCTTATTTCCATACTACAACAATGACACAACACAGGAAATCCCTTATGGGTATATGTGGTGTCCAAGAGGGAAGTATAGCTTCTGTTAGACGTTGTCAAGAAACTATACCTATCTCTGAGGCAGTTCGATAATTATTACATAGTAGTTTGTAGTTAAAGTCATTTATTAAAGAATTGCAAGAAGGGTGATCCTTAGACGCCTGTCCTAAAGGATTCAGGATATAAATTACAGGATAAGAAGAAGAGGAATTGTCTGTTTCTTGGAAACTGTTAGTTATAGAACTTGTTGAATGCTTTTCTACTTGGGAGAATTTAGAGGGTTTATAAATCTGTAAGTTAAGTGACTAAGTGACTAAGGGACTAAGCGACTGGTTTCACTAAAGGACTAAGCAACTAGTTTCACTAAGGGACTAAGCGACTAGTTTCACTAAGGGACTAAGCGACTAGTTACACTAAGGGACTAAGCGACTAGTTGCACTAAGGGACTAAGTGACTAGTTACGCTAAAAGACTAAGCGACTGGTATCACAAGCTTAAGGCATTAAAATGTTTAAAGCATTAAAGCAACTATAACTAATAAATAATACAATAATAGAAATCTATCTTATAATACTATATAATAAACAAAATATACAACAAAATATTCTTTAATCAATCAAATAGAATATATATAATGCTAGACAGAGAAATAAGATCATTGCTAATAAGAAATTAATTAAAAAAGCAAAAAAATAACAATCAGAAAAGAAGTTAAATTTCATAAAGCAAAACAGAAACATAGTAACAATTAAATTTAAAAGAAATTACAAACAAAAAAAAAGAAAAATTAACACAACAAGAGCAACAAAAAAAAGAAAAAGCAAAAAAACATATATGATGCAGATTAAAAACTAAAAGAAAGATAAAAAAAAAAGATATAAACAAAAGAAGACTACTAGAGAAGAACCTTACTACATTAGAAAAAGCAAAAACAAAAATAAGTATTAAAAATACAAATTAAATAAAAGGAAAATTATTGGTACAGATAATAAAAATCAGAAAAGAACAAACAAAAAAAGCAGAACAAGAAGATATAAAAATAGATAATAAAGAATTAAAATAAGGTTTAATAATAGAAGAAAAAAATAAAAAAAAAATAAAAAAATAAAAAGTTAAAAGAGAAATAGACATAGTAGAAATTTTTTTAGAAGATGTATATAGGCATCAAGCAAAAAAAATTGCAACAAAAACAGCAGTTTACTAGCTAATATACTTACACATAATGTGTTTGAAGAGACAAAAAAAGAATGTATAAAGTTTATTAGTTGGTCATTAAAAAATAATAAACATATTAAAGACATTAAAGAAGTTTTTAAATGAAAAAATTTATGAATAGAAGTAGACTTTGTGAATATAATAAAAATAAGATGATACAAAGAATCAGTAAAAAAGAAAGCAACTGATACAAAATAATATTAGAAGAAAACAAAAAAAAACAAAAACAAAAGAAGTATAAGAAAGAATACCAAAATAAAAAACCAGTATATAAGAATGCAAGAAGAAAAAGTATATAAAAAAAAAAA